TCTAGTTACCTTTTAACGTTTAGTACATATAGATTCTCAGAGATGAGATATATTCCCGCATTAAAAAGTATCCTATATGTTGACCCGGATAACCAGCTATCATCATACCAAATTTCATCAAAATCTGTCCAGTGGTTTTCTCATGATGCGATCACAGACAGACAGGCAAACAAAAATTCTAAAAACTATAAATTCGGCCTCTGTATCATAAAGATGTACAGATTCACGCATGTACAGATTCAATTGAGAATTTTATTATATTAAAAGATTAAAACGAAATGAAGAAATATCAAATGTTTAAGCTTTTACATTGTAAAGTAAGCGCCTAAATGATTATATTTTATAGAACTAGTGTACTCGGTTGTGTAACCTAGCTTTTGTAGAGCGAATTTAGTCTTTAATAACCATGTAAGTAAATAAGTAATACCATCTTCCGTACTAACGTGTTTCATCTTCTTAGATGGAAATAGAGTTGCTTTTGTATATATGAATATAATAAATAGACAAAAACAGAATAGTTCAGTATCTTTTTCTTCTCTGTTTGTCAACCATTTTTTTTGTTTCATAACTATTGGCGAGTTTTAGTGTTATCAATAGAAAAAAGTATTATAGTTGAATTCCAGCCACTGAGCGAGCGCTAGTTAGGTATGTGTATATCTCATAAATTATACCTACATATTTTGACGAAAAATCGGCATATTTCCGGATTGCTTTATAAAATTTTTTAACTATCCGAGGTGGTAGTCCATCAACATAATATTAAGATAAGGCCCTAACGACGCAACCCATAGCGTTGATCTCGAGGTGACAGGCCCTTCAGGGCTATTAAGCTCGCCCTTTAGAGAGTGACTCAACAATTCGTTCGTGTTGCTTAAATATTAAATTTTAAACTATTATTTATTATTAACGAGACGCTTATTACCATCGTTAATTTGGTAATAAGCGTCTCGTTAATTTTGGACTTTTTATTTGAAAGTTAATCATTTTGGGCTAAAATATTATTACGTGTAGTATATAATATAGTCAATTAATAATAATTATACATATACTTATACGTAAATAAAATTGCCTTATTGGCCTATTTTAAATTAGTAAGCTGTGTAATAAAAAATAACTCCGCCATGTGTGATACTGAAAACATAACAAAAGCTCTTTTTATTGAGCCGTAAACTTAAGAGAATGGTAAACAGTATACTTACGTAGTAATTGTCGAATTGCCATTGATGCATATAAAGTTATTACAACTACAGTATAAAATAAAAAAGGAAGGGTCCTAAGTATGAGGTAGGCTGAAAATTGTAGCGAGCCGCCTGTTTCTTTGCTATTCATCACTGTGATAAGGTGACTCAACGGATTCCCGTCACGTCAGCGTCGTCTATCACCCACTTCCCATATTAAAGAAAACCCTTACATTGCTAATATTTTACACGACGCATGCGACCAGGGTATTCTGACGAAAAATATCAGGAAAAAACTCATAATACTTTCTTAGATTTACGCGAATATTTGACATTTTAAATGAAACTCCTTACGGATTTTTTCACCGATTTATTTAGATTTTTTGTTCCCGACGTTTCGAATTCTTTACAGCAATCATGGTCACGGGAGAGACTCTTCCGAAATCCGAAAAGATAGTTTTATTTAAAATGAACAAAAAAAACACCATTTATAACCTTTTCAAATTGTACGAATTTCAGTGAAGACGTATGATATAAACTTGTAGCTCAAGTTTCAATTCTTTCTATGGACAATGTTACAATAAGACCGCAAAGGGCTTTTATTGCTTTTATAAAGAATATAAAAGGACGATCGTTAGTCAAACGTTGTTACAAGATAAATCAACGAATAGGAGATGTGGTTGCCTCCAGGCATTTGAATATTAAATCAAGTGTATAATAAACTTATACAAATACTATAAGGTACGTATGTTTGGTGGTTGGTATGGTAAATATGATAGGTAGATAGTCTATATATACTTAGTTATGATGATTTTTATATCCCTTTCTTGAGAAATGATTGATTCCCCATACAAACTTCCACCCACCTTTTTACTCCCTTAAGGGGTGATTTCCGGAGGTAAAAGTATCCTATGTCCTTCCCAGGGTCAAAAACTATATCCAGATCTATTTTCATCTAGATCGGTTTAGTCGTTTAGTCGTGAAAAGGTAAACAAATAAACAAACAGAGTCACTTTCGCAACTATAATATTAGTATTTAGTATGGATTAATATAATATATGGACGATCCCGAGCGGAGAGAGGGTGAGTCGCTAGTCACAGAATAAAAAGAGAGTAATTAATTTTGTCTTTTAATTGCTACCTATTTAAATTCTGAGTTCCAAAAAATCATTATTATTATATTTTTTTCCTCTTTATCTTAATTAATTATTATGCCACTACGGGCTACTAAAAATAAAAATAGCCCATGAACCTTTGTCCTACCAGTATTTGCAATGCCTAGGCCATCCATAGGTGTCCATCATATTTTATGCGGAGCGGTGTGCTCTGGCTTTTAATTAATATGATATTTAATCTGCTACTTGTCAGTAAAGCCGCTTATACGTGCATTTTGACGCATATTATAAACTTGACATACGAGTACAAATAAAATGTTTCACATTAACATTTTATATAACTAAATAATATCACACTAATTCATCGTCTATATGTACAGACTAGGAAATCACCCTCGCTTCGCTCGGGTTCATCCTAGCTTGCTTCCAATATAAACTTTCATCCCCATTTTCACCCCCTTAAGGAATGATTTCCAGGATAAAAAGTATCCTATATCCTTACCAGGGTCTCAAACTATCTTTTTACTAAATTTCATCTAAATCGGTTCAGTAGATCAAGAGATTACCCAATACAACGTCTGTCTGTCGGTCCGTTTTTTCCGCCTCATCTTCGAAACAGCTGGACTGATTTTGACGGGACTTTCACTGGCAGATATCTGATGTTATAAGGAGTAAATTAGGTTACCGTTATTTAAAAAAAAAATAGGGTTCCGCTCAAAAATATTAAAACATACCTATGAACGCAAAGCGAGCGTAAGTCGCTAGTAACGTACATATATAATACTAATTAAAATAAAAATATTTATATACATATAATAAAATTGTAAGTAAGTCGAATCTGTACATTAAATATTTTTTGGAAAATCTAATTGAAATAGACATTATTATCGATACAGAGTTCGAATCTATAGTTTTTAGAATTTTTCTCTGTTACCGTATCACGAGAAAACCACTAGATAGATTTTGATGAAATTTGGTATGATGATAGCTGGTTATCCAGGTCAATATATAAGATATTTTTCACCGCGGGAAAATGTCTCATTTCTGATAAAAAAAACAAAACTGCAATGTAAGAAGAGTATGCTAATATGTACAAACTAAGAATTTGTTTTTAGGTCATGCTGAACGCGGGCGGAGCCGCGGGCAATGCTAGTTATAAATAAACACTGTCGTGTTTAAAGATAATAATCAACCTCAATTCTAATTTACGATTACACCGATCGATACTCCTCGATTCACAAAAACTTTTCAACGAACTTTTCTTCTATATATATATATATATACTCGTATAAATAACCCTTTGACGAAAGTCCCTTCGGTACCAGGCTATCAGAAATATTAAGGCGATCGATTTAACTTGCTTCAAGTACGATGACGTCACGCGACTTTCACGCACGTGTTGCGAAACCGAGAACATTAAACTTTAACAACTCAATAAAAAAAAGCGTAAAGGGCAATTTTAATTTGCAAAATAAAACTGCAAAATGTCTAAAGGGTTAAACTTGCTCCACTTTGGTACTAGGGCGTCATAGGGCCCTAGGCGGTTGAACCTTCTCAAAGCACACAAAAACAAACCACGAGTAAAAACAAAAAAAAATGCATTCATATCGCCGTCCTTCTTGGATATATATAAAAAGAAAAGGGACAGGACGACGGGGCGGAGTTTGTTAAATAATGATTTTGACCGAGAAATATTTATTTATTTATGTTTGTTGTGATTTTTATGACAAAAACTTATTTGCCATTTTATTTTATGACAAGTATAACCAAATGAATATTATATATTTCGTGCATAAGCTTTATATTGAGTTGAAGATTATAAAAAAAATAAGTCAAACTATAGTATTAATTACGCAAGGAAAAGTTATTTTTTTTTTTATTTTTTGTTTTAATTATTTTTTGCAATGGCCGAATGTGACAAAAATTTAGTGGTAATTAAAATTGAATACATTCAATTACTTAGCTTTATCCTTATCAATTTTGCTTTACCCTCCTTCACCCGAGTTTTGAGTCGACAAACAAAAAAGACATCATACAGAAAATGTAACACCATAAAAGGGGTGAAAATGCTTACAAAGTTTAATAAAACAATGGGAATTCTACCCCTATGGTGTAAAAGTACCAGGTAGTCATAAAAATAGAAGAGTTTAATCGTACAATGGGGTTGCAGCTAGACTGCAAGCTAGGGGAACGTTGTACGGCTTGGGGTTCGAGCGGAAGCACGGTTTAGTGAATAAATGTCAACGCGGGAGCAGTAAACTATCAGGTAAAAAGGGGTTTCTGTTTAATATTACCTATTTATTTGTAATATGTTTGTTTTTTAAACATTATATATTTATTTGTTTTATTTTCAAAATATATAAATAATTTTATGCCCTCATCTATAATTTAATTACTAAATATATTTAACATAAAAATTATAATACAATAGAATATAATATGAAAACTTATATCAGCAATAATCAAAAATAACAAGTGGATGAAAAAAAATGTTTAATTATTTCTCTTTTATATGTAGAAGTTAATAATTGAAAAAAAAACACATACAGTCGAATTGAGAACCTCCTCCTTTTTGAAGTCGGTTGAAAAGGCTCTATTATCTGATGATTTTTATACATATGGACTATGAAACATCTAGTCTTATGTATTATAGACATAAGATATTATGTACTTTGAATGATAATATACAATATGTTGAGATACGCACCTGCAAGCTGGGTGGGCAGTGGTCGAGCAACTCGAGCATATGCTGTATATTCTGCGCGTCCTGTATGACGAAATTGAGCTCCATGTCGAACTCGCCACCAACCAACTGTAACAAAATAGAATAAATTAACATAAACATTAATTAAATTTATATATAATGCACCAATATGACATACAACATGAGTGGCAAAAGTTAACCGCACTATGTAATTTAGTCGAATAAACCATTTGTTAGAGCGTTAGTATATTTTTAACCGACTTCCAAAAAGGAGAAGGTTCTCAATTCGTCTGAATCTTTTTTTTATTACTTAATTTTTACCCGTTAATATAAACCCTATATATGTGTATGAGAATAATAATATTTAGTATGTCTCCGATTTTTTTTATACTAAATGCTGCATTACGCATACTGACACAAGACTCCACCTTGTATTGTGGATATTGTTTATTTGTATCTAAGCTGTTTAAGAGGCTGTCACTGGCAGAAACGCGATAAAAAAGCTGCTAACATAGAAATGAATAATTCTTTCGTTACAAAAGCTTCCTTTGTTAGAATAGGACATTAACTATTTAGAATAAAAATGTTACATTGCACGGCATATACAAAAAGCTTTTTTGTCTCTAAATACATACGAGTATGTTACTTTTTGTTATTTTTATATGCTGTATATAAAAGATACATTTTTTTTACTTCAAAATTTTTATCAAAGCTTTTAAAATGAAGACAATTTCCGTAATCGTCATATTTAATACATCATTTTTAACGTTAAGCTCGACAAAAATTTATCTCGTCAAAATTTTTTATACATTCAGCCAATAGTGCGTTTAGAAAAAGCATTCAATGCCTTATATTTACTGAAAAACCGACTTGTGAGGGTTCTATACGGAACTAACTTTGTTTTCAGTATTCGCAACGGCCCTGTTATGGAAATCTAATCCTTGTATAAAGCAAACACATAGAAGGACTCGTGACTCGTTCTAAAAAAAAACGGGGCATAGTAAAATTTGGCCATTGGAAATATTTATTGAACGATTTTGAAATACATCACAAATTTATAGACATTAAAGTCGCTCTGATTACACTGTTTAACATAAAAAGAGGAGGCACACCCATAAGACCTGCATTGCATACATACAATTCACGTAAATCGACTTTTTCTTGTTTTAACCCTACTGGTTTATTGCAAAATCCTGAATCGTGCATTTTATTTTGAGACTAAAACCAAAAAAGCTTACAGGAAAAAGAAAGCTTCTGGTTCATTTGCGTCCCGCGTGCCTTGCCTTCTCTATTGGAATATTTCCTGACCGAGTGAAATATTGGCTGTATCTTGAATGCCGGCATCACAATGGGGACTTGTCCCGCCATGTTCGACGGACATTCAATTTGCGCGATCGGTCAATCTCTGTATAGCCTCTGCGCGCCTGGTGCCCGAGCCCTTTGTATTCGTAAACAATGGCGTCAGTGGGAACATGAAAAATAACTACTAACAGGCCTTGTCCAGCTCGTGTTATACTTACTACAACGCAATCTGCTTGTTTCATCAACAACTTTCCGAAAGTTTGGCGACAACAAACCAATTACTGAATATACACACACATTTCCAATATCGACAGATACGTAAATAACAAAATAATTCATTAAATGAATGAACAATGGATATTTGTTAAAGTTTATGTGTTAATGCCAAGACAGCATTAAATTAGGGTTTAATTATAAAAATATTCTCCTTGCTTCGCTCGGATGCTTTTCTAGGTACCTAACATTACCTAACAGCTTATGTGGTGTTCTAGGTAAATAAATTATAAGCAAATCTACACTAAATTTCAAGTAAATCCGTAAACGACAAAAAATATTAATAGTATAAACGAAACACAAATAAAAATAAAGATTTAGGCCAAAACTTTTACAGATGATGGTAAAATCAACCTTAAAGCAAATACAACTGGACAAGCATACAATTTACCAGAGCTTATCTTCTATTTCCATTGTTGGTAAGCTCACATAAATTACGTTTTCTATGAGAACAATGGGGGTTTTATCCTCATGGGGTACGTTTACTAGGCGAATATAAAAATGGGAGAGTGGTACCTTTACAATAACGATACGAAGGCTGTCAAGTAGTGCATATTACATACAATGTTTGAGTGAGATAGAGTCTAATTAAAAAAATACATGTAATAAATATCACGTACATACATAAAGTAAAAAATAGTTTTATATATTTGAAGAACAGACAATTTATTTATATTTATTTACACTTTATATATATATATATATATATATATATATATATATATATATATATATATACTAATATTGTTGAATAACAATGTATTTATTATATTTATTTTTTAACAAATACAATAATGACGGACCTGTTTTATTTCAACTAAATAAATAAGTTAAGTAAGTGTAGATAAACGAAAACAAATTTCTCAAACATTAGAACCAGGAGAGCATGACAAACAAAGAGTCATTCATAAGTCTTATGCTGGGGTTGCATTATCGAACTGATTCATTGGTTACGATGCACAAGGGGCGGGGCGTAGGAACAGGACCAGCAGGTACCTGAAGCGTGTTACATTAACAACGCACACTACAGTAAAGTTTAATCTATACATATATTAAAATTCTGAGTAGAATCTGTACATTAAATATTTTTTTGGAAAATCATATTGACATAGTCATTATTATCCATACAGAGGCCGAATTTATAGTTTTTAGAATGTTTTTCTGTCTGCCTACCTGTCTGTTAACGCATCACGAAAAAACTACTGGATAGATTTTAATGAAATTTGGTATGATGATAGCTGGTTATCTAGGTCAATTGTAATATAGGATATTTTTTACTGCGAGAAAATATCACATTTCTGGGCTTAACGTTAATACGTAAGGGACGAACCCGAGCGAAGCGAGGGTGAATCGCTAGTAACATATGTAAAATTAATTTTATTGAATAACAAAAACGTTTTAAAAGAAAATACAGTACAATAAAAACAATACTAGATATACTTAATACTTTCTTAGATTTACGCGAATATATTATATACGCGAACTATACCTTCGAGACATCTAACGCCTCAGTCTCTCTCGTGACCATGACTGCTCTAAAGCATTCTAAACGTCGGGAACCAAAAATCAAAATAAATCCGCGAAATAAACCGAAAAGATCGTTTTATTTAAAACTAGATATACTTTTTAAATTTGGAACATGTTCAATTTAATAAATGACTTCCACTTCAGATCGCTGCTTGAAATTAAATTCATAAGGCTATAAAAATGCTAAGTTTTTCCAAATTTTGTCTTAATATTAATTATCAATGCTACATGAATATATTCGAATAAAAAACTTTTTAACAAAAAAAATAAGTAAAGGTGTGCTTCGTTTTGTATGGGCTGGCACCAACTTCGAAAATATTTGATTAGGTATGTATAGTAAATGAAAACTACCAATCAGTTATTTTTTACTTTTTTATGCTTTTTTGAAGTCGGTTTTTATTTTTTTGTTAAAATATTTATTTTTCCCTTTTTAGTGTAGACATAGTAGTAGCAAAGTAAGAAGAAAGTATTTTAATAAAATATTCGCTTAAACCGTTTAAGTTATTTTAATGCCAATTTTTATACGAAGACTTACAAACTAAAATTCGCTTTTATTAGTAACACTAAAAATTCTGGCTCTAAAATCCGATTCTAGCGTGTTAGGCTTGTCAAATCAAACAAAATAAGCCCAAACTCAAAGTATCTACTACTAGCCCTTGAAGAGTTCCACCTGTCCATCTTCCGGCCTTAACATCAGATCATGTCAACGATACCGAACCACTGCACTATCAACGGAAATAGAAACACTTGCAAAGTTTCAAGTCAATATGACAATTAGAAGTAGGTTAAATTCATCATTGGCTATTTTTTCACTTTTAGGGGTGGTAATTTTTTTTTTGAAATTTAAATGGGACCAATCTGGAAGGATACACTTTCAAACAAAACAAAAATTGTCCAAATCGGTTAATAGATGACGGAGTTCTGAAGTAACAAACATAAAAAAATACAGCCGAATTGAGAACCTCCTCCTGTTTGAGGAAGTTGGTTGAAAAAATATAAATAATTAAATAAGGAAATCAATTGCACTCCATACAAATAAATAATAAAACGTATCAGAGTCAATATCAATTTGCTAACAGCCCCTTCTAAAACCTTAGGGAATATTAACGACGAGCATGAATTGCCTACCATTAAGCGTTCTAATTCTGTCTTCTCACACAGTGACACGAGAACAAATAGGACGCATATCAATTGTCTGTCCCATTTACATTGTTTACGAAAAAAGCTAAGTTTTTTTATTCTTTTACAAAAAAAGTTACGAACAATCACTTTGTTCCATCACGATCGCTAATTAAGTATGATCTTTGAAAGAATATGTATTTTAATACTTTCTTAGATTTACGCGAATATATGACATTTTAAATAAAACTATTTTTTCTCGGATTCATTTTTATTTTTGGTTCCTGAAGTTTAGAATACTTTACAGTAGCAATCATGGTCACGGTAGAGGCTCTCCTGTACAGTTTTATTACAAATATATATTAAACTCAAAATTTTCAGATCATTTCGTCAATTGAAAATGGCAAGTATCATTTATGCAAACGTTATTAGGTATATCAGCTATGGTAGAGGCGTTAGTAATTCGATTGCGCGGTTGCTGCCTCGTCATGATTTCTATTTACTTCCTTTTCGGGTGTCTCTATGAATTTTTCATAGAAATATTTTAAAATTGAACAACTAATCCGTTTGTATATATTTGTTACTATTTCATAACCTGGAGAAGCACATGGTTTGTTATTTAGGGACGTATACGAGCGAGGTGAGGATAAATCCCTAGTCCATACTAATATTATAAATTTGAAAGTGTTTTTGTTTGTATTTCTTTGTTTTTTTTTTGTTGTTTCTTTGTCCTTCTTTTACGTCGAAACAGAGTGACGTATTGGCGTCATTTTTTGTGTGGAGATAGTTGGAGAGCTGGAGAGTGAGTGACATAGGCTACTTTTTGCCGCGGGAGATTATCTCATTCCCATGGGAAAACACGTTATAATACAACCCAGAACAACTTATCATACCTATACATCATACAAAAATATGTATATAGCCTTTCTATTATTAAAATATGGACTTTGTTATAATCGCATCATCTTCACACACGACGGATGTCACTTATACAAACGCGATTACACTCGGGCAGTGTAGGCGGGTGCCGGTAATTCGATTGCACTCCCGCCCGGTTATTATTGCTCCCGGCTCTTTATCCGGCTCGATCCCGTTAATACCCTTAATAATAAGATACCGACCATCACTGAGTCGAGATTTTTTCCTGTTTTGTTGCTAACTGTAAATTAAAAATTATCCTTTTGCCTGCTTTTATACGAAAAAATATAATTTTAGTCTGAATATATTTATAATGAGCATAACCATGAAAAAATTTCTTTGGAAAAACTGTATTAAATTAATCAAAGTAAATAATCGCACTTATGCATAACATAAACAACACAAATTCTTTTATTAATATGACTGTTGAGACGTGTGTCTCATGCGTTATAGGCAAAACTTTAAAACTCAAAAATCCACAATATTAACGCTCGTATAAATTTTCAATCTACGTTCATTACTTCTTTCCGTTATGAAAAAATCGGAATTTAAATACCACGCGAGCGTAGCCGCGGGCAAAAACTTATAAATTATATTAACATAAAGCTTAATTACGTAAGAAAATATATCAGAAGTTTCAATTAGGTATCCTTTAAAATATATTCCACCTTAAAACATTTGCTAGCACACCATGAAACGAACCAAATAACTAGGCGGCGGTCGCCATTTTCCCGACAAGTGAATATACCAGGGATGCATGATGGCAGTAGATGTTCTGCATTAACATTCACTGTAATTACGGGAAGAGACTCGCCCGTTGGGAAATGCCGGCATCGTATTAAAATACGTCACGTACCAGTCTATGGTTCCTCATTTTCTATGCAACGAGAGTAATATCCGAAGATGCACTGTGCTAGAAAAAATTTCGCAAAATATTGCAAGAAATGTATACGCTATTTTAACGCTAAAAGCCTTGTAGCGTTAGGAAAAACAAGTTTTAGTCGGTTACTATTTTCTAATTACATTTTAAACATTAATAATTAATAAATATGTGTTTTAAACTTAAA